CTTTCCAGACTTTTTTAGTTCCAGAAATATTTATCTGCTTTAAAAAGAGCCAAATTCATACACAATGGAAAGCAGAAGCCATGACTAATCAAACATGTTTGGACATTGTGACCGAGTGCTCCTGTAAACATGCCATCAAACCCCATTAAAGATTCTACGGCGTCGCGACAACATGCATGTTTGTCTCGGGTCCTACTGGGTTTGGTTTAACGCAGAGTCCAAGCATGTCGTCGAAAGAGGAAAAGCCTCTTCGATAATTTACGATATCTCCTTGGAACGGAGAGGAAGGATGAGCCGGAGCTCTCCGCGAGATCTGGTGACATAACAAGGCAACACGAGAGCCTGGAGCGTTTCCTCAGTTTATGTTGACAGAGACACACTTCCTTCAGACTCCGTCTCCTCCTGGTTCGGCTCCAAGGGAAGATTTTCAGGGCACGTTGTGGGAAAAGCGATGAACCCTGCTGCACAACGCGGCGGCTCCTGAAGGTTGATGAAACAGGAGATAGTTAGATTCGTCACGTCAGCCTGGGTTTTTAGCACGACACGAAGAAACGCCAACGCGGGGAAAAGGGACGCTGCAGCATCAGTTTTTGTGGTTTGTAGATCAAAACTAAGAGCTGCCAAAAGGTTTGGGTTTACACCACATCTGATGGAAGTGTGGAGCAGACAAAGGTGTTTATGGTCAAGTAAGTACACCGTGGAGAGACTACTGAAATACACTGGTGTTTATGAGTTGGCTGGAAGGAGAAAAACCCAGTGCTCTCCAACAAGACCACCACCAGCTGTCTGATGTTTACTACAGATTGGGCCAAAATCCAGAAGCACAGTGGAACATTAGAGGAGCAGTCAGAAAAGCAAACTTTAAATAATAAAAAAACAACAACCTTCATTAGTGTGTCATGGAGTCATTCCCACAAAGACTGTAAAAGTTCTGCATGAATGAGTGTTTACATATGTGAATGTGGAAGTATAAAGTATACATTTTGATCATCAAGTAGCCTGTCCAACACGGTGGTGGTAGTGTCATGCTTTGGGACTGTGTGGCAGCATCTGGATCTGATTGAAGGTGACGAGAAAAGAAGAGCAGATGGAGTCAAAAACGCGAGCTTAAGAGAGAAGCTACAGACTCGTCTTTAAGAGAGAAGCCCAGCTGACCCACGTTAACAAACTGAGCGGCGTCCGTCATTTATCGACCCGAGTGACCTTTTCTGATTCTTAGAAAGGAAACCAAAGTACCCAGGAAGAGAGTCAACAAATGCTTTTCTTATTCATGAAAAGATTAGAGATGATAGCTGGGGATTAGTGCGACTGCGACAGCACGAGGATATCTGCACCTTGATGTAACCTTCGAGCGTCAGAGCAACGTCTGCAGTGTTCCTCTCCTGCATGGTGTCACATTCTCAAAGCTTCCCAAAAGAACACTGAAGTTCGGCCGTTGTGTCATAGCTGCCTGCCCACATGCCCGCCACACTATTTATACCAGAGGAGCACAACTGCTGCTATAGGTACAGTTACAGTGAGGCACTTCATGCTGCAGCTGCCTGGCCTCAGCTAATTATACAGTACAATGCGCACACTATATGCAACACACACTTTCACTGATGCTCACAGCGATACTGCTGTTGGCTCTCGTCCCGTATCGATCGCACAGATGGTTCCCTCCCACACCGACCGGACCGTCAGCGAGCCGGGCCTCTTATTGGCTGCGTCAAGAACGAGACGGACGAATTCCTGTCAGAAATCAGTGCGTAAATGACAATTTCACGGTACAAAAGGAGTGGACAGAGTGGTGACAGAGAGAATAAAAAGGTTAATGAGACAAACAACGAGGCTAATGTGGCGCAGAAACATTATCCATTTATTTTAATAATCTTTGTTTCAGGTGATTTTAGCCTAGTTTTACTCAGAAGTTTGGACTAATAACCATGTCTCTCTTAAGTAAAATAAAATAAAATAAAATAAAATAGTTATCTAATGATATTTTTGCTCCACCTTCAATTACTTGATTACTACTGTAAATATTTTCGGCAGCAATAATTTCTTTATACCATAAAAATTGTGGTGCTGATGTGTGAATAACTTAAATTCAAATAATTTTTCTTGTAGTATGTCACACTGATGATCTTAGTAAAAGGCAACCTTTATTTTGACATTAATTCTCAAATTAAGTAAATCCCCCCTTCCCTAAAAACTGAATAAATCTTATCTATTTTAACTCATATTTTAGTTTTTACATTGATCAGAGTGTTTAGTAGCCTCTAATTGTTAATCCATAACTGTTATACTGTGGTACAACATAACAGAGACCCCAATGTTTGTTAGGTCCTCTATAAAATGGAGATCGCCATGACAACATGCCATTCAAGTAAACGTCAGTAAAGAAAATAACAAATCACTAAAACTTACTGATTAGGTTGATTGTTTTACCAAGGAACCTTTTACATCCTATGCCTTCCTGTTTCTGTAGGGTATAAATATGATGTGACACAGAGCCCAGTTTCCTTTAGCCAGTCTTCAAAATGGGAAAGACAAGAGAACACATCTATAATTTTGAGACTTTGATGTTATCATTATTTCACCTTAAAAGTAAAGTGTATTCTGTACTGATTGGCATCATAGCTGCACTTTGTGAGAAATTAAGATATTTTCTCTATTTTGGGGTATTTTGTTAAATAAAATAATTAGCTAATCAAGTAAAGACATCATGAACAAGCGAATAACCAGTTACATACATACATACATACATATATATATACATACATATATATATATATATATATATATATATATATAGGTAAGAAAGGCATACAAATTAACAAACACAAGCAATATTCACATCTGACCTTTGAATTAAATGTTATGAGAGTCATTATGGGGTCAAATCTTAGTTGCAGAGAACAAAGGTCAATTCCTGAGAGCATTTGAAGTCAGTCATGTTAACCCAATTACAACTTAATAAAGGGACTTATTGGCTCATTTATTCTGCGTAAAGGTTCCAACCCTTTTTCGTTCTTAGTAATCATTCCAAACTTTGTTTCAGGAACTGCCATCTGCCTGTATGCAGGTTCCAGTGGGTAGTGTGTGTAACAGGGAATGGCATTATCACTGCTTTGCTTTATTAGCATTAGAGCTCAGGCCTCAGGATGAGCTGCAGCAACCCGATCTCTGCAATGGATTGAGCGAAATGTCAGTGAGCCACCTTCATTTGTGCCATCCAGTGACTGTGGACCGCCACAGAACAATGGCTCAGAAAGCGAAGCAGGTCCAGTGTGATCATAAAACATGCAGTTATGGCAGAGGTTTCACTTTTTTACGGTTTAGTGTCAGTGACCGCTTGTAGCAGAACGTTGTCTTTGTTCTCGGCCCGAAAGTGAACTAACATTTCTTTTCTTATCTCCCCTCCGGTGTGTTAGCGTATCCACAGACCCCCTACCCCCCATCCTTCCTTCAAGAGCTTGATTTGGAGTTTTGATCATAAACTTCAATTCATTTTGCTGGGATTTTATGTGACACGGTGTCTCAAAGCATTGTTTTGAAGTTGAGGAAAAGAGAGACAAGGTGCGCCGTCTCCTCCAGGTTTGGACATTTAGAGACTCAAATTTTGCTGCTTTTCTTTGCAGAAAAGCTCATATTCAGTCAGAATGGATGGAGGCTGTCTGTGAATATCAGTTCCTGACAACTAACTAGGACCAGACTTTGACTGGGCCACTCTAGTAAATTACTAAACTTTGATCTAAATCATTTCACTCAACAACTCAAGTTCCTGTTGTCCTGCTGGGGGGAGAATCTTTTCTCTTGAACAGGTGTTTGGGGTGTTGGGTCAAAAAGTTAAATTTTTTTGAGGAACTACTTCCACACGGTTCCTACTGGCCTTGTGGCAAGTAGCCAACAAGACTTATCATGGCTTTCTTTTAGCAGCAGATGGCTATTTGGGACGACCTACAGCTATCCTGTCAAGCTTTTTGTTTCCCAGCTGAGCTGTGGATATCTGCACCTCCCCCATAGGTGTCCCTCTCATGCAAATTTTTACTTATGTTCTCTTGCAAACCTTAGCAGAAGAGCTGTATTTTTAATGGATTTAAATTACACATAGAGGCTGAACAAATCACTGTCAAACCTCTGATTTTTCTTAATGTTTTCACTTCTACTTCACGTGAATGTCCCAGGGCTACTCGCAAATTCCCAATAAGAACCATTGAAGTCTGTGTTTGCAAAACAACAAATTGTAAAAAAAAAAAAGAGAGAGAGAGAGAAAGTTCATGGAGTATGAATGTAAACCTTCTCGCCGGGCGTCCGTTCATTTGTTAGCTGAGCGTCCGTGTCTCTGCTGACACGTGAGCACACATGTGCCCATCAGTGTCCCTTCCTCTTGTCTTTGTTCTAACCGTGCAACCTCTCTTCATCACATCTTATTTCCAGCCCACCGGGTCGTGGACCCCTCTGCAGTTGTTGCCCTCGCCCACCCTGTCCACCTCCCCTCTGCCTATTCTTTGCCACTGGGCAATCCCTTCCCACCTATTGAGGACGTTCCCATCCAATGAGCAGAGAGAGCGTGTGGAGGGAGCACCAATGGGGCCAGTTTTTCATCTGTATAAAACTTTTCAAGAAAGTTTGCCAGGTTGCACTTTCTGTCAGTCCGGGAGGAGAGGAACAGCCCAGAGAGAGAGAGAGAGCAGCACAGGGGGGGTCTCCGGTTCATAATCCCAATCCCACACTCAAGAAAGTGGTGGGTGAAGAAACTTTTTATAATTACTATTTATTTTTTTTTTACCTCAGTTGTCTCCCAGTTGAGCCTGTCGGGTTGATGTGAGTGTTTCTGTTTTTCTCCCGAAGCCTCTCCGTTTCTGCCAAGGATGGAGAACGCGCACATCAAAGAGTCGGCCGACGTTCTGGCCTACTTTGGAGTCACAGAAGAGACGGGTCTGCCACCCGAGCAGGTGAAGAAGAACCTGGAGAAGTATGGCTTCAACGGTGAGGGAGAGAAAGAAACAGGAGGCCGGGACAAAGAGGCAGTGAATGATGAGATTTTTTATTTTTTAATAATTTATTCAATATCCTTCACTGGATTTGTCGTGGTGGATGAGCATCACACGAGCAGAGATGGAGGGATGAAAAAACAGAGGAGGAAGATGGAGAAGTGTTTAAGGACTGACAAATACACCAGCTGTGTGTGTGTGTGTGTGTGTGTGTGTGTGTGTGTGTGTGTGTGTGTGTGTGTGTGTGTGTGTGTGTGTGTGTGTGTGTGTGTGAGAGAGACAAACGCTGGGTGGTTACGTTTATGGAGCAGGCACATTTAGGTGTCACGTTAGGGAATGCCATGAAAGTGTGTCAGTCAAGTTTTCAGATCCGTCTCTGCAGACGCCGAGAAACTCATTCTGAATTCAAAACCAAAATTTTCCACCAAAGAACATTTCAGCTGCACGTGCGTGCACGATTAAAGGAAGTCAACTGTTGAGCTGAGCATCTGTGTATGCCACGTAGAGCATCCCTCTCGTTGCCATTTAATCCCTCTGAATCTGTGGAGACAGCAAATGTACGGCTTTCATTCATATTTTCTGTTCTGTTCTTACCTGCAGAGCTGCCAGCAGAGGAGGGTGAGTCCGCCTACACACCTGTTACTCCCTCATCCGTGTCTGGATCGCATGTTCTGTCCATCAAAGCGCATCCCTCGGCGTGAAGCCACCTGTCCCGCTCACTTCCTGTGATGACAGCTAATGTGGTCATTTTGCTTAACACCTATCTCTTGGCTTCTCGCTGCACTTCATTGTGCCGCAGACGTGGCGCGTCCCCACACAGCTAATAATACGCCATTACCACACATTGTTGCAGGAGATGTCCCCTGCTGGGTGCATGGATCGCATATTTGCTGCACTTAACATAAACAAGCGCTGATAGACGGATATGACTTTTAAACAAGGCTGTGTAGCCTTCTTAAAATGTATTCCCTCATCGGTTTTGCATGTGCAAACACCCTAATTGGTATAGTTTAAGCACATGAACACAGTCTGTACCAGGGCATATTTAAATCAGTGTGTTTTCTGTTTATCAGGAAAGAGTATCTGGGAGTTGGTGGCGGAGCAGTTTGAGGACCTGTTGGTCAGAATCCTCCTTCTGGCTGCATGCATCTCCTTTGTGAGTTCTTACATGTTTTGTTTTGTTTGTTTGTTTTTTTTTTTTTTTTTTTGCTGACCCCCCCTGATGCCTCTGTTTCAGTTTGTTTTCTTTTGGGCAGTAGCC